TATTATATATATATAACTAATATTATATATATATATATATATATATATATATATATATATAGAAAAATTATTTTTCAGGATTGATATTTGATATTATCTTGGTTGCTGTACTCAAGGCAATCACAAGAAGAAGACGACCAACTGCTGATGACGCTCAATTTGCTATAGGCCCTGATAAATATTCTTTTCCTTCCGGACATGCATCTCGTGCTGCATTTATTGTATACTTTTTCTTCCATCTTTGGCCCATATCTTTGTTATATATACCACCTTTGCTAGCATGGTCCTTTTCTGTATGTATGTCTAGGCTGTTGATGAGAAGACATCACATATTAGATGTACTTGTTGGTATACTTCTAGGTATCTTTGAAGGTTTATTTATAGGTTATATTTATTTGGAGCAGGAGACATGTATCAGTTTAATCTCTTGGATCACAGATGAAAAAGTATATGGAGCTGAAGTATAGCACAACATTTGTATATTGTATATTGTATTGTGAATTATATCTGAGAAATGTGAAATAAGACATTGTGAATGCATATGAATTTGTATATATGATTGATGACTTGTTCTTTGTATATATAATTAGATAACATTTTTCAAGAATTGGAAAGGTCTAATAATCTAGAGTGTTTAATTATGCAGTTCTAATCTATGAATTGCATGTTTTTTTTAAAAACATCGAAATTATATTTTTATCATCTGTATTTCCTGTCATCGGTGAATCGAATAAATCATATTTCTAAAAGATAGGAAGAAGTTGCAATGATTATTACATTCAAATAATTATTTAAACATGTTTCATCAAATCACATTACAACTTATGAATAACAAATTTGTTTTCTGCAAAATCATGTATATATGATTTATCATTTCTAATCTAATCTTTTCAAATTGAAAATCTATCCCTATCAACAAACTGCTGTGTCTTGATAAATTAATTGAAGTTTGTGAAATCAAAATATTTCTCAAAATAAATTCAATTAATTTAATCTATAATTAATTTATATTGTAATCCTATACTATTTAGTCAGTATAGAATTATTAATCTTGCGTTATTAGTCCTTGTCTTTAATACATGAAAGGAAATTGTAGACAAGGAATTATGTAGTTAGAAATTTTGCTAGGAGCAATCTCATTGATTGAATTGATCGGTGATTAATTCAATTAGAGTTAGTTTATCAAGTCGAAACCGTATTCTAGAACCAACTCTGATTAATTTAGTTCACAATTCATCCTGTAATTCTGTACTGTACTTTTGCTAACATGAATACAAATATTGAACTTGTTTACTACATGGAGAGAGAAATTGCGGGCGACGAATTATGTAGTTGGAAATTTTGCTGCGAGCAATTCTTCCAGTCAAATTGATCAGCGATTAAATTAATTAGAATTCAATCGAAAAGAGCCTTCCCGCACGATCAATTTGAAATGCGCGTTTCTCGGGCGCTTTCACACCGTTGGCGGCTCTGCGCGCGGAGCGAAAAGAATCACGCGCCCGCCATTTCCAGATGTCACCCGCGTTCAAGGCTGCGGCGCATCCTTGCCTGGCGGGATCCCGCGTAGATCATCGTGCGATCATGAATTAAATCGGCGTTTCGTCGAACGTTTCCACGAAAGAGGCGCAGCTTCCTCGAGCGAGTGTAAAAGAGCCGAAGAGATCGCGGTTGAAAGAGGCGTGTTATGACGCGATCGTCGGTCGGGTTTTCCGGTCCGACGGACCGCAGAGTACGCAAAGTGTTTCGCTTGTTGCACAGTTGCCAAGGCGACTAACGTGCGTGCGGCGTGCGTACGTGCGTGCGTGCGTGCGTACGTGCGTGCGTGCGCGCGTATGTGTGTCGTGTGCGTGTGCGAGTGTATGTATGTTATGATAAGAGACCGATCCTCGTCATCGTCGGGACGCAATTCTCGTATCTTCCTCGCGTCGACGACGCATCGTCGATGTCCCGCAACGACGTAGCCTGAACAGAGCCATCATGGACTACCCGGTACTGGGTCACTACGACCCTACGGTAGAGCCTACGGATCATGGCAGCGGCGAGGAGGAGCAGCAACAGCAGCAACAGCAGCAGCAGCAGCAGCAACTGCTTTGTGAGTGTTCTGTCTGCGACTTCACCTCGCGTGCCCCTCTCGTGCGCCGAAAAACGCGAGATGAGAAATCATGTCTATCTTTATGGGACTGAAAGACCCAATCGCTCTGCTCGCAATTTTCGTTGATCTGTTGTCTGTGTTTATTTCTACCTTTCGCAATAGTCGTTTGTTTCTGAACGCTGACGCGCGGAGCACCGAATCAGCTGGCATCAGCTGTTTTCCTGACATACGAGTATAACGAAGGATCGTCCGTTGTTTTCTTCAAAATTGTTCATACGAAATACGTCTAAAACATACGACCAATTTTCTTCAATTTAATATTATGTTTTTTTTTTTTTACTTTATAGATATAATCATGATGCAAAAGAAATTGCTTTTAATGTTTGCTTTTGTAATTTATATCCACTGATTATTAAGGAAAATTGTTAAAGATCATCATGTATTTTTTATTTTATTTTTATTTATTGCGAGATAAAAGATAGAAATAAGCTTAGTTTCATCTCATCCTAGAAAATACAATTGACAAAGATAATTCATAAATTAAAAGATATAGCATTTTATATTTTATTTTTGCATTATATTTAATTATTTATATCAGATAAATAACAAATGAAAAAATTATTAATAGCGTATTGATGCTAAACTGTATTAGTAAAAGTATCCTATTTGTTGCTTTTGTAGTACATATGTAAACAGTATAAAACATTAGCTTTTTTGATTCTCATTTAGATTGATTTTTATTCCAGGGGAAGAATGTAATTATGTTGTATCCGGGGATGAATATGTACCTGCAACAGAGCAATTCGGAGAAGACTTCACCGGAGCCGAGTTTCATGAAACTAGAACGTTGCTCGCCGATGGTGGAGATAGATTTGGAGTTTCCACTGCCACTTTCGATACGATCGAGGAACTTATGTGGATGGGAAATCAAGGGGTATATTAATACAAAACTTTTTATTTGAGACACTAATCATATACTATAGTTTCGTGATGTCAATCCTCATAGGGTCATGTAACATCCTACTATGGGCCTGGTTTACAAAAATACACTTCCTTTCAAGTCCACGCGACACAGGAGATACGACATATTCATACGATAGATGAGGGTATCTTAGTATTGACTCAAAGTATATTAAGATGTCAGTTACGAAGAGGCATACCTATATTTACACACACGTATGTGTTAACATTTTTTATACTATACATATTTTATACTAATAATATCGGCAGATTTGAACAAACCCAGATTATTGTAGGTCAATGAATATGAACGATATGCAATGTATGTTGCAAATCTCTCCAACCAGACTGCTCATGGGTGGACATCAAGACAAGATAATTGATTTTAATCTTACTAGAGGAAAAGAAATTGGATTAGTAAGAATCCGTCAATTAAACGTTAAATTAATTTCGGATCCGGAAATGCGATAACTGTTTATGTATAACTGTTTTATATTTGTAGGTGGATGTAGATGAGAATGGTTGTGCGATATTGAGACAACACAGTAGGCTTATCTGTGCTGGTAATCCTGCGGGAAGGATAGATCTCAGGGATCCTAATACATTATCAGTAGAACACACTTTGGATACACATAGCGGTTCCCTAAGTGACTTTGATGTTCAGGGAAACTATCTTGTTACATGTGGATTCAGCAACAGGTGAGGTACAAGATAGACGAAAAGTTCTTAATCATCATATATTTACACACAAATATTTATGGATTACATTGTTTAGCCGTCAAGGTCTCACTGTAGATCGATTTTTAATGGCCTACGATCTGAGACAAATGAGAGCGTTAAGTCCAGTCACTACTATGGTATATCCTCTCTTACTGAAGTTCCTACCAAGTTATTCCAGTCGGCTCGCAGTAGTATCGCCACTAGGCCAAATGCAATTGCTGGATACAATATACGCAAATGTACAGCCTTCATTGACATGTTTATATCAGGTGAATTTATTGCGTCTTTTTAGAATAACAAGTGTATAATAAGTAGAAATTTTAGAAATAAAATATATAGAGAATATATAAAAATGTATTATATGTTATTAGGTTGCTACTGGCGGCGCGACAATATTATCGTTTGATGTAGCTTCCACATCCCAGTGTCTTTGTTTTGGAGACTTGGCAGGTTCTATACATTTAATGTCCACCAACAATCCGGAACCTCAGTTTAATACATTTTCTAGGTCAGTTATGATTTTAAATAAATTTTTAGAAAATTATATGAGCTCTTAATATATAATTTAATAATTTAATTTTTCACAAACTTTTACGTTGCAACTTTCATGTAATTTTATTATTCTTGAATTTTGGAATATTCCATATAAAATTAAAAACAATTAAAAAATAAATACGATTGATAATAAAGAATAATTAAAATTAGCTAGGAAATATGTAATAATAAATATATATTTTTCTGTTATACTTAGGCCTACAGAATTTGCCGATCCAATTGAGACAATACAATCAATTCCTTTTGATGACGATGTTACACCGTATAGTACAATACCAATTGTATATTCAGATCAACCACTTTTAAGCGATTGGCCAGAAGAATATTTAAAAAAAGTTTATAGGTAGATATTTGTTTTATATTTATTGTTTTATATGTTTTTGTATAGTTGAGAAATAAGTAAATTGATTTTTATTCTTTTACAGAAAAACACCAGCAATAGATCCTGAAATTTTGCGTACAATGAAAATGCAGGGAACAATAGGATATGCGCCAAATCCTCAGGCTTTTCGCAGAAATCAAGTGAGGAAACAATATTCTCCCACTCTATTACAATATTCTCCTCCGTCTCTTCTTAAATTATCTTAAATTCCATATGTCTCATAATAATTTTTCTTCGTTTAGCAAATTTTGAAGGCTATTCTGCTTATACAACTTGATATCGGATTTAATATCGCTTCTATATCCCTTACATTATAGATTTATATATACATATTTCAAAACATATATTAACACACAAATGTGTTCCTTCATAATTTTGAGGCTTTACTAGCGTGATCAATTAAAGCAATACATTATCAACGCGAGAAATAAGGCTCAATACAACGTTGAAGCGTTTAATTTTTAGAAACAGAAAAAAGAATAATATAATTAAGACTGAGAAACATTTCGTGATAATTATTATAGTCTGTAAAGAGACGTGATATATTTTCATAAGCTAGTCCAATATATTCTACTAATTTTACAACAGTAGCATACAAAAAGATTCATCAGTCTCAAAGTGTATTATAAATACATTATGTATAAGATATCGAAATCTTTCTTCTCGTTATTTTATTTTGTGTATTATCAATTTACAATATATATTCTATATGAAAGAAAATATTCAAAAAAGTGATTGTAATTTTGAAGAATAATATCAAATCAATAATTATATATTATACATATTATTGCATTACATATTATTGCATTAATTGAAAATATTAATTTTTTTATTATAATAAATATTCATTTGTTAATGACATATACAGAACTGTATAATTTATTTTTGTTTGATTATTTTTGATATTATATCTGTGAAATTTGGAAAAATAATTTGACATACGATAGAAACGCACAATTTTAAATGCGTTTAAGATTGAATATAAAATATATTTTTTTGTCTGAATCTTATAGATTCAATATTTTCAACAATGTGCCAATTTATAACATATAAAGAAAATATATAACAAATATCCATTTTTGCCGTAGATACATCAAAGTATTACACATAAATACAATTTCTAAATTTTAAATATATTTTTATTATTGATTTAAATAATTAAAAATATTTAACTTGATAGTATGTGTGACACATAATTGATAAATTTTATCATTATTAAATGTCTCACATGCATAATATATCTCTTTTTTTGAACAATATAAATCATGTATAATATCAAAATAAGTTTTCTCTTTAAAATTGGAAACCATGTAATATTATATAAATTAAAAGTTT